GCTGAACAACCCACAAGGTCAACCACATAAAATTTCCTTCAGTATTTCAACTTAAGCAAATGAAACAACATGTTGCTGAAAATTTGCAGTAGAAGTTCTATAAATTTAAGTTTCTTGTAGAAACATTAAGGCTATACTCATTTGCCTTACTATCAACACACAAACTAGACTGCAAACTATGAATGTATGGAATGTATCTACACAATCTAATACACAGAAAATGTTGAAGATATGAACAAGATAAAATGTCCATATCCTCTTGGTAAAGATTTACAGAAAAACAAATAATAATACTTATTCTAAGCCACATACTATTCTAAGTCTTTTCCAAAGGTGAGTACTATTATTATCCCTCTTATGCACATGTACCTCCAAGGAACTTAAAGGTTAACTAATTTGCTCAAGGCCACAAATAGATCTTTCCCTCATTCCAAGTTTCTAAGAATAAAAATTCTGTCATGAATAAAAAGTGCTACAAATTTGAAAATATATTCATGTTATAATTACATAACATTTTCTTGTATCTTAACACAACTGTTTCCCACATTGACACTTCATTCCCTTCACTCTAAATATGTAAAATACCAACATATTGATTTCAAACCTAAAGTAAAATCACGTAATTAAATTGTGCAACATTTTATTCAACCAAAAAGTATAACTCAGTAATGATGCGTACGTAAGTTGTCCAGAATATTTTTGCACAGTTGTACATTTTGATTACAAACATTTCCTATTTCAAAATCCAAATACTAAATATAAAACTCTCACTATAATTTCCCATCTTGCTACCTTTAAGTTTGTTTTTTAATTCTTAATCTTTGGACACCTTGCACATCGAATACTATTTTTATTATCGCAATAAGCTGAAACAGGTTTCTGATACTAATAGCAACTCACTTAGATGAGATGCCTAAGAACAGGCAAATTAAGTCAGAGAGACTGAAAGTGGGTTAGTTTACCAGAAACTATGGGTAGGGGAATAGAAAATTACTGTTTCATGGTTAGAGTTTTTGGCATAATGGAAAAGTTTTGAAAACAGTGGCAAGAGGGAGCATAACATTATTACTGTAACTAATGTCACACTTAAAAATGGTTAATTAATGGTTGGAGTGCAGCTCAGTGGTAGAGTATGCTGCCTGACATGCAAAAGGCTCTGAGTTTAATCTCTAGAATAACAAAAATAAACACTGTAAGTAGTTAACATGACCAATTTTGTTACATACACTTTATCAAAACTTTTTAAAAACAATTTTTTTTATTTTAACATTTATTGTGTGTGTGTGTGTGTGTGTGTGTGTGTGTGTGGCCAGCTCAGCCCACCAGGGGGCGCGGCTGGCTGGCATGTGGTGCTGGGGGATTGAACCGCGGTCCCTGTGCTTTGCCAAGCTTGTTCCAAGTAGGTGCTTTAGACCACTGAGCCATCTCTCCAGCCCCTTATCAAAACTTTTTATCAAAACTTAAAAGAATGCAAAAAAAAATTGCAACACACCAGAAACCACTTACAGATGCATGAATTTTACAGCATGTGAATATCTCAAGGATACCAATATCTCAATAAGGATATTTTAATGGGGCTCTTAAAATTCTCAAAGGGGACAGTGCCCCCCCCCAAAAGAGTTTAAAAGCCACTGCTATTGAGGGAATTCCAGCATTTCAAGGCCAATTAAACTAAATCTAAAAACTTCTTCCACATTTGAGATGTAAGTCCCAAGACACTATACTTCCCTGAGTGTAATAAAAAGAATGTCTAACTGCATATGGACAGAGATGACCCGTATCCACTAATCAGTTGTTTCCCATTCCTTCTTTCCTCCAGCCTCTGGCAACCACCAATTTTTCTCTCTATGGACTGACGTACTCTGGATGTTTCATATACTATAAATGGGGAATCATACAATATATGATCTTTTGGATCTGATTTCTTTTTTTTTCTTTTCAAAGTTTTATTGATAAACATATAGCAATGAGACAGTTTCAAATCAAATCGAAAGTACAGTTTCAACAAATAATACACTGCATACATTCTTCTCAGTGGTTAATTGCTGTACAAGATGCAGACTTGTGATCCTACTTACAAACACCATTAGAAAAAATCATTCTATTCATTAAGAGAATGCAACTATATATCTATCCCAACCACTTTGAATACACAGATACAAAATGGACATTCATAGTTATACCCCAATTTAAGTTCCATTGTTGAATATTATAGGTGTGTAAACTCAGCAAAATATTCTAAAAGAGTACAGAAGCCCATAATATCATTGGTGGATCTGATTTCTGCTTAGCATATGTGAAGTTCACCCATTTTGTAGCATGTATTGGTACTGCATTCCTTTTTACTGCAAAATAATATACCACTGTGTTCACATACATCTTGTTCATCCATTCATGTACTAGGAATGGAATTGGTAGATGACATGGTAATTTTACATTTACCTGTTAACTACTGTGATTTTGATGTGAACTTTCCTAATAATGAGTATATTAACTTCTATTCTTGTTAGCTATTTGTATCTCTTTGGAGATATACTTATTCAAGTCCTTTACCCATTTTGAGTTATCTTTTTGTTGCTGAATTATAATTATAAAAGTTCTTCATATAATTTGGATATAAGGACAGGCCCCCATTAGGTGTATTATTTGCACACATCTTCCTTCATTCCACTTTCCGGTAACGTTTGATACATAAAATTTTAACTCTGGATGTCCAATTTATCCAATTTACCTTTTACTGCATGTGTTTTTGGCTTCACATCTAAGAATCTGCCAAATCCCATCATGATTTAGGTCTGTTTTTTTCTTCTAAAAGTTTAAATAGTTATAGTCTTTATAGTTATTTAACTAGGTATAAGCCATTTTGAGTTTCTTTTTTTGCTTATTTCAGTATATGCTACCAAGACCAACATCTATTCCTAAACTTCTATTAGTACTCTCACATTTCACACTTCAAATTTTTAACATCCTCCCACCAAACTATTTTTGTAGTCTTTTACATATCAGTAAATGCTGAGGTTAACCATCTCAGGAGTCATCCTCAAGTCCCTTTTCTCTCAGGACTGACATCTAAGCCATCAGCAAATCTTACTGGATTCACCTTCACTTTATCTTAATACAACAATTTACCACTTTTACCTCTACTAATCTGGATTACTGAAAAGGCTTTTATTTGATCTTTTTGGTTTCTCACCTTAGTTTCCCTTCAGCACTCAGTTGTCCTGTTAAAGTAGAAATCTTTCTGTTCTAATTCATAAATGTTACTCAGAACAAATACAAGAATGCTTTTGATGCACCATGATTTCCTGTGCAATCTGTCCCTCCATAAACACGCTTTTTAGTCCCATCAATAAGCATTCCTTGTCTTTGTGCTATTTCCAGAGTCTGGAATGTTCTTCTCCAAGATAGCATGGCTGGATCCCTCACCTACTTCAGTTCTCTGCTCAAATTCACCTCCTTAGTGAGGCCTTCTCTAGTCATCTATCTTAAAAAGCTATTGTGCCTCTCCTGACCCTATTTATTCTCCTTCAACCTTTGTTTTATTTGTCTCTATGGTATTTATCACTACGTGACACAATACTGTATATATTTTGTCTATCTCCCCAACCTCTGCAAGAACGTTATCTCCTTTGGGTAGAGACTTTCATTTGTTCATTTTATCCACCAGAGCTCAAAACAATTTCTAGCACATAACAGGCCTTAAGTATTTGTTGAATAAGGAGCAGCATCTTTCTGTCCTTCTTAACGGGTTTATGCACTTTGCACAAGCTGTGACAGTCTCAGTCACTTCTAAATTCCCGGCACTTAACATCAGTACTCAACACATAGTAGGTATGCACTGCTTCTAAATGACTGAACCAACAGGAGAGCCTTTCGATCAGCCCTTACGCTATTACTCCCTAAACACAAGTCAGCTTGTGGGTTACCTCAAAGAAGAGGTTTCAAATACCAGTTCCCACGCTCCCACGTGTATCCCCCGCGGTTCTCACAACAACCGAAGCAGAGATGAGTAACGGTCAAAGCTTGCATGTGAACACTGAGCAACGACAAGTCCGAAGGAGGGAACGACTGTGGCCGGACTGTGGCCGGACTTGAGATCAAACAAGTCGGCAGGAGTCCGGGCAGCCAGTGACAGGCAATGTCTCCGGACAGGGGGTGGCAGAGAGAAAGAAGTGCCCGGGTGAGCAGGACCACAGTCCAAGTCCCCCTTTGACAGCTAAGAAAACCAAAGCCCGGAGAGGAAAACGAATTCCCCGCGGCCACAGGGCGCCCAGCTAGGGCGCGCGCCCACCCCGGCCGCCTCTGCCCGAACCCCCGCCGCACGTGCTCCCAGGTCCCCGCCGGCCGCTGCGCCCCGAGGCTGGGGCCCCCACACCCTCCCGAGCAAGTGGGCCGGGAGCCGGCGCCGCGCCGCGCGTACCTGGCCGGATCCCGCGGAAACCTGAAGAAGGCCAGGTCCGACTGCGTGCTCTTCCGCGTGCAGTTGGGGGCCGCGCAGAAGTTCGGCATCGTCGCCCGCCCGCCGGCCGGC